AAAGAAATGCAAATTAAAACCACAGTGAGATATCACTACATATCTACTAGAATGGCTAAAATTTTTTAAAATAGATAATACAAGTAGTGGGGGAACTATAAATTAATTGGAACTCTCGACCATTGCTGATGGAAATACATAATAGTACAGCCATCTTTTAAAAAATGTTTAGCAACTTCTTATAAAGTTAAACATATACTTATCATACAACCTGGGCAAACCTACTCCTGGGTATTTTCCCAAGAGAAATTACAATATATGTCCACACAAAGATCTATAAATGAATTTGGAAGTATGAGTTCAAATCAGCTTTATTTGTAATAGCCCAAAACTGGACACCCAAATGTCCATCAACTGGTGAACGGATAAATAAATTATAGTACATCCATATAATGGAATATTACTTAGCAATAAAAAGGAATGAACTCCTGATAAATGCAACAACATGGGTGAATCTCACAGCATTATGCTAAGAGAAAGAAGGCAAGCTCAAAAGGCTATCTACAGCATGATTCCATTTATATGACATTCTAGAAAAGACAAAAGTATAAGGACAGAAATCAGAAATAGTTGCCAGGGGGTTAGGGGTGGAAACAAACTTTTTGGAGTGATTAAAATACCCTCTGTTTTTATTAGAATGGTGATTACATGATTGTGCATTTATCAAAATTCATCAAACTACACCCTTAAAAAGAGTGACTTTAAACATGTATAAAATTACTATTCCTCATAAATCTGAATTTAATAGAGAATAACCTGGGCTGTTCAGAATAAGAGTAAGATATGCATGTATCAGGGCAGAGGTACATGGAAAATCTTGCTGTGAACCTAAAACTGCTCGAAAAATAATCTTAATTTTTAAAAAGAAGCAAATGTATTGGTAATGCATCTATTAATTAGATGAATGAAATGTTTTAATTAAAGGAGATTTTTATAAGTAAAAGAAAGAATCCTTTTCATCTGCCACCAAAACCTCAAAATTTATCCCTGGAAGACAGTTTGGTACAAGGAAAAGCACACAGATTTTGGAGTGGAACAGACATTGGTTCAACCCCCAGCCCTGCAATTACTAGTACGTAACTGGGCAAATGATTTAATCTGTGATGATTTAATGACGATCCGAGAGTTTCCCTCGCATATCCCATTCCTCAAACCCACAATGGGGATCCCCCTCATTAATTTAAGAGCTCAAACAATTGTGACAGGAATAGAGTTTGAGAAGCAGGCTGAACAGTCTAACCTTAAATCATTCACAGACTAAAGTCTGGGAACAATGGGGCAAAGAGCAGCAATGCTTTTTTTTTTTTTTTTTTTTTTTTAATTCCTTCAACAGATTCAAAGGAAGTCCTACTTCAAGTTGCTTGCAGAAGGCTATGTGCCCAGGAATCTAAACATTTTCATTCTGAAAATAAATAGTTCACAGTGGGGAGCACAGGCCACAGGGGGAAAGTTGAGCTCATGAAACAAGGGGCAGACTCTTCTCAACTACAGACTCTGGGAAGGTGGGGAGTGGGGAGGGGTGGGGGGCTCAGCTCGCTGAGTCCAGGTTCAGACACAAAATTGGCTTTGATTTTTTTAACCCATCTTCTTATGGGTATTGTGGCAAAAGTTAGATGCAGGGTCTAGGAAAGGAGAGGTCACTGGGTATAGCCTCCACAAAAAGAAACTGGACCAGCTCTGCAGCATTTCCTTAGCTCCGGAATACCCCGCCAGGACAAGATGCCATCGCACCGATTACAGAGCATGAGAACCTCAGTTTCCAAAGAGAAACATCGCAACAAGGCCTGCTGGAAACCCAGGATGGGAAACCCTCCTCCATGTAAAACAACAGTGCACCTTAGAATCAATAACCTCAGCCAAAACCGGTTTGGCTCAGTGGTAGAGCGTCGGTCTGCGGACTGAAAGGTCCCGGGCTCGATTCCAGACAAGGGCATGTACATTGGTTGCGGGTAGGGGGTGTGCAAGAGACAGCTGGTCGATGTTTCTCTCTCATCGACGTTTCTAACTCTCTCTCCCTCTCCCTTCCTCTCTGTAAAAAAATCAAGAAAATAAAATTAAATTTAAAAAAAAATTTTTTAATTAAAAAAAGAATCAATAACCTCAAGACACAAAGCTTGTGGAAATTTACATGAAAATGAAGGTATTCCAATCAATGGGAGAGAGGGAGATTGGTTAATTAAAATAACTTGGAGCACTGGCTCATTATTTGCAATATAAAGAAAGCTGTATTGCTACCCTCCCTCCTTAACACAAATAAACTGTAAGTGCATTAATCAAGTGCATCAAATATAAAACAAAAATCATAAAAGTACTTAAAGAAAACCTGGGAATATTCATGTTAATCTCAGAGTAGAAAAAATATTCATAAGCTTAATACAAAACCTAAGCTATAAAGTAAAAATTAGATCAATTTGACTACTTAAAAACTGTTTTGGCCCTAGCAGGTTTGGCTCAGTGAATAGAGCATCAGCCTGTGGACTGAAGGGTCCCAGGTTCGCTTCCAGTCAAGGGGACATGCATGAGTTGCGGGCTCAGTCCAACATGCAGGAGGCAGCCAATCAAAAATATATTTATTTTTTTAAAACTGTTTTGGAGGATTCAAAAACATTATAAATAAGTTTAGAGGCAAACTCCATATTAAGAAAAAAATGTTTTAAATATATACAAAGGCCTAACCTCTTTAACAAAAAAAGAGTCCTTAAACCCATTGATAAAAAATAAATAAATAAATAAAATACAGTTTAATAGGAAAATGGACAAAGGACATGAATAGAGAATTTAAAAAAAAAGAAAAGAAATACAAATGCCAATAATCATATGCAACCAAGATTAATCTTACCATTAAAGAAATGCAAACCAAAACAAGATTCCAGCTTTTAAAAGATGTTTGACACAGAAATGTTTATAACATTTAAAAATAGAAATATCTGCAAATCCATCAATACAGGACAGTTAAATAATGGTACATATATATATATATATATATAATTAAATACCATGTACTTATCACAATTTAAATGCTGATTTTACCTCTACTGATAACACATTTAAAGCAGTCTGTAAAATATGGTTGAGTAGGAGGAAAAAAGATTTTAATCTATGTAGCAAGATTCCATTTATCTAAAAGTGTACATTTTATCTATTTGTGATAAGTGCACAGAGATATGTCTGAAAGAAAATTCACCAAAATGATCACAGTGATTGCCTCTGAGTGGAGGGTTTTCAGGAGATTTTTTAAATTTAGTTCAAAATTGCAGTATCCTTTTAATAATCTAAAATGAGCACATATTCCTATCATTAAAGAAAACTAAATTATTTTCATTTTGAAAAATCTGAAGAAGCCTGAATGACCAATTTCAACAAAATAAAACAAAAGATTGTCAATATGCAGTAAGGCAAGTGGTCACTCAGACCAAGGCCCTTGTCTGTGGCTGCCCCTTGTAACCAGCACTAGACAGCAGGAGGAAGACAGGCACAAACATAATCTCAGGTTTACAATGGTGAACTGAGGTGCAGGTTGTCATGGGTTCAGAGAACAGCTTTGGAGGGTGAGAAAGACTCAAGTCAAACACTGGTTTCACCGTATTAGCTGTTTGCAACAGGCCAGTGGGCCAGACAAGGGGAACAGGGAAGCTGAGACAGAGCTGAACAAGCTGGCAGAGAGCACTCTGCAGCAGATGCAGGCCACCTCCTAGAGAGAACATCTGGGCCTCAGTTGTAGTTCAGCTCCAGACCCAGAAAGGCAGCAAACCAGGTGGGCGACATCAGGACCAGCTGCAATGACCAATAACCCCCTGCCCTGACCCTGACCAATCAGTGGAGACCATGACCCTAAGGGAGCACACCTCAAAACTGATAAATATTCTGCTTAAGCCCTCCCCTGAAACCTCCCCTAACACACCTGCCTACATGAGAGAGATAAAAGCCTCAAGACAAAGGACCCAACTCCTTCTCTCCTTCTGGGGAGTAGCCCACACCATGCTCTTTCCCCTCTCTTCCCCCACAGGCACACATCTCCTAAATGCTAAGGGACCTCCAGCCCATGGGTTCCAGCTAGCCCATGTTAAGATCCTAGGAAGGCTACTCTATGCCAAGCCAGAAAGAATGTTAGAGACCATCTAGTGCATCATCTTTCATTTGGCAAATGAGGACCCTGAGAATTAGAGAGGGGAGGAGACTTGCAGGGAGGCAAAGCATCTAGAACCCTGTCCAGACTTTTGACCATGGGGTAGCCTCCTAGGCTCACCCTTTCCTTCCTCTGGCTACCCCCTCCTGCCCCTCACAATGTCTCATTTCCCATTTCTATTCCCTGTTTCATTACCTATCAGACTTCTTAAGTGCCTTCTCCCCTCTGGTCCTAACTGTCCTTTATGGCTCTGTGGTAATGGAAGGAACCAGGCTAGAATTGTTCTGACTCAAGGAAGGGCCCAGAAAGAGGATTGCTATGGCCATCACTAAGTCAAAACCAATACAGACATTCTTCTGCTTTCCAAAGCAATGTAGCCCAAACCGTGGTGTGAAACAAGAGAAGAGTAGAGGGAAGGGCTTTGAGGTATTCTCAATTGTCCTGGTGACATTGGAGATTACCTTGAAACTCTTAAGAAAGGAAGAGTCCCAAAAAGAGAGGTACCAGCAGATTCAAGAGGAACCAGCAGACTCCATCTCTTTGATCCTAATACAACCAAGGTGCAGGGCAGCCATGGCTGAGAACATCTGGGAGGCAAGCCGAAACCGGTTTGGCTCAGTGGATAGAGCATCGGTCTGCAGACTGAAAGGTCCCAGGTTCGATTCCGGTCAAGGGCATGTACCTAGGTTGTGGGCACATCCCCAGCAGGAGGCAGATGGTTGATGTTTCTCTCTCATCAATGTTTCTAGCTTTATGTTTCTCTCCCTTTCTCTCTGTAAAAAAAAAAAAAAAAAAAAAAAAAAAAAAAAAAAACAGAAGCCCACCTTCCCTGGGCATAGTCCCAACTCTTGGCAATGACTAGGCTGGGGCTTACCTTGGGTAAACTGACTGGAGTCCTGGGCTTGGTCCTGGGATTCTTAATCAAGAGTCTCTGATCCAGAGGGAGCAGATGATATTTCATGGCTTCAATGAGGAAGTCCTTACAGGTATTATTATTCTTTATCAAAGCTTCTTCTTCAACTGTCTAGAGGTAATAAAGCACAGGTGATCCAGGAGCAGAGCCTGGCCACATCTGCCACGTGGTCACTCCAGACTGAGTCATTCTGCACTCCCACACTCATTCATTCTCACAGCACAGCATCTCAGACCTTGAGAGATAGGTCCACAGAGTTATAACTTGGTGGTCACCTCTTGCATTTCAAGAGTACTGCGGAATAAGTGATTCAACTCAGGCATCAAACCAACAAGGATAAAAAATTCCAGCTCTACCACTTAATTTTTCTTAGCCTCAGTTTTCTCATCTATAAAATCGACATATTAAAATTACCCACAACCTAATTGTGTCTTCATTTGTTTGTTTTGAAGCTTAAAATGAGACTATGTAAAAAAAGACAATTAGTTGTCCTGAAAACCTTTTTCCACATTCCACCTGGTTTGAATGTATCACAAAGTTTATGATAAATGGTCAAACATTTGAGAAGAGGAAAGTGAGGAAGAGGAAGAGGGTGGGATCCACCAGCCAACCTTTGGAATCATGAAATAAAATAATGTGACTATCAAGAAGAATTTATATCCATAGTGTTCAGTGAATCATAAGCATAAAACTGGCCAATGAGACACCCTCTAACGGAGCAGAGATATGAGTAGAAAAAATGTCCTGCACAAAAGTCCCACCTACTGACCTCACCTTGGACCCCATCTAAGCTGGGAGAATAACTTCTTCGCCTCTGATTCCAGAGTTATGGGCCTATGCAGGTGCCCAGCAAAAATAATCCTAAATGTTTCCTGAGCAAGACCAAGGATGCAATCAGCCTAGTGCTCTTTCAAACCTCTACTGTTTTGGTCCAGATCAGACTGCTATGTGGCATATCTGAAAGGGGAAGTGTGGTCTCTAGAGGCCACTTCATTTTATTTATTTTTTTATTTTTTTATTTTTGCTGAAGTGCTTGGAATCTGTTGGGATAGGTTAATTCCATTCAACCACTAACTGATTGAACGATTCTAGTTGGGCAGCCCAGCAATAATGAACAACATAAAGTTTCCGACCCTGAGGTGCCCAAGCCCAGTTGGAGAATGAGAAGGGCCTCCCCACCTCAGTTATCTTCACCTCAAGCTGATCGTGCACAAGGCCTGGCTGAGCCGCTCCTAGGTCCCTGTAACTAGGAGTGGAAATGTGGCCAGAGCCATCACCTGCTGGGCAGCATTGGATCTGGCAGGGAAGGAAGGATGGGTAAGACAGGGCCTCTGTCACATCTGGGAACATCCTTCCCCAGAGATGAATCCCAAGATAGTTCCAAAAACACTGTCTTCTGGGAAGGTTTTTTTTTTACCCTCCCACTGAGGGACTGAACCAGGTTGAGACAGATCATAAACTTTTGGGGTCAGTTAAAAAAAGTAAAAGGTTGAGAGAGGAGCTCTAAAAAACCTTGGGGGGAAAGAGAAATGCATAAAAAGCATTTATCCCAAAGAATTCATTCAGCTTGCATGAAAAGCTCCCCTAGAGAGTTAGTGCTTCATGGGCACAGAGTTTCAATTTTGGATGATGGAAAAGTTGTAGAAACGGATATGTTGATGGTTGTATGGCATGATGAATGAAATTTATACCACTAAATGATCTACTTAAAATGGTTAAAATGATGAATTTTATGTTATATATTTAATCACAATAAAAACTTATTTTAGAGATATAGCATGTTACATACTTAGAACAATATTTTTAAATATTTAATGAAAGCCTAATAAATGTTACCTATTGAAAACAAACAAAGAAACATCTCCCAGAGAAGTCCGACAGTGTTGGTGTAGGTTTTCCCAGGGCTTTCCCTTCCCCCGCCCCCCGCCCCCCGCCCCACCCCCTCCTCCTCCTCCTCCTCCTCCTGTTCAACAATCAGCCATCCCCAGTGGGAAACACCAGTTTGAAGTTTCAAGGTCAAATGAGTGTTACTGAAATATCCTCTTCTTCCAGAGGTGTTCTGAAAACAGCCCTTTGTAAAAGGGGATCTTACACAACAGTTCTCATTGCCTCTGACCGCTTCTTCTCCAGATCTGAACCCTACTCTGCCATAATATCCTGGGAACTATGTCTTAATGTCTTTGTTAAGTGTTGGTTGTGGACACTTGCTGGAGGATGACTAGGGGTCTCTAAGGCCCCTTGAGCTTTCTCTGGAACCCAGGTCCACAGACTGTCCTTCCTCCCTATGGAAGAAAGACTGTGCTGCAGGCTAAATGTCCATTTCTATCTTTGATAAGTTTCCCACAGGACACTGGGAGGTTTGATTGACACTGTGAGCTCTGGCAGTTCAGTCCCTCTGATTAGGGGACCTTTCCTACTGGAAGGATATGCTGCCACCAGATGGCAGTGGTACCATTCAACGTGCAAAATTCAGGGCTCAGCACCTGAGAAGAGGGCTGAGGTTAAGAGTTCAGACCGCATTTCCCTGTAATGAGGCCTATCGACTACAGTGTCATGAGCTGAGGACTGTACATCTGTGAGGACATATTTCAGCTGGATTCACTGAGCACAGCCGCAGACTTCACATGGATGGTCTCATTCAAACCCCAAATAATCCTGCACAGGCAGGTTGCCATTTTTACCAGAGGAGAGAACACTGAGGTTGAGAAAAGTTGAGTACTTCTCCGGCGTGAGATAGCTGAGAACTGATAGAGCTAGGTTCCTGGGCTACTGAGCATCCTCTTATCTTTCCTTCACTCTTTCCATTCCTTCCAGAGACTTGTCAGGGATAGCTGAGGGCTGGCTTAATGCCTTGGAGTTTCGTTTCATTCATATATTTAAGTTTTAAACTCTCCTACTTGTAAGAGAATGTAATGTCATTTGCTGTACAAAATAAGTCATGTAATAGATTAACAGAATAGAGAGCATTAAAGGTGGTGGTCCGCTTAGTGCAAGGTGTGTGCATTAGAGCCAGATTTTGTAACAAAGGGGGTTATAATCTCTGCTCAGGGGTTATTATTATATAAGAATTAAATGAGAAAACATTTGGCACCCTGTTTTCAGAGGAGGTAGACGCAATATGCATTCCAGGCACCTGTGAGAGTTGATTTATCAATCCCAAATTGGGCCTCAAGTGGCCTAAAGCTAAGTCAAAAGGGAACAAAACAATGTTATGGAAATGACCCTTCTGATTGATCCTCTACAATAAAAGTGGCTAATTTATTGAACATTTGTTTGGCCCTGCTCCATACTAACCACCTAACTTACATATCCACAACTCCTTTGGTCCCATAACAACCCTTTGGGGCTCTTGTTATAATTTCCCATCTATGGAAGAAGAAATCAAGACTTTAAGAGGTTAAATTAAAACTCCAAGCTAACAAATAGTAGAGCAGGAACTGAAACCTAATTGTCTTATTTTCAAACCAATGCTCTTATGCTACCACACCTCACACTTAACTCAATGGGTTAATGTCCTCAACCACTCCAGACAATCAGGGTAACCCATGCTAACCCTAGAGGCTTATTCTTCACACAGGACTCACCTGGACTAGGTAATCTCTAGGTAGAAGAGGGAGACGGACATGTTCCATCAGCTTTGCCATGTGCTCTAAACGAGTATCTTTCTCATAATTGATCCACGAAATCACAGCTTCAAATACCTATAAAGAAAGTCAACATAGATAACTTTACCAGAAAGATAATAGCTTTCAAACAACTTCCTCAACCTGAAAAAAAGTTAAAAGTCATCCACAAATGTGTTTGACTTAAAGTTCAATATTTAAAATAAAACAAAAATAGAAAGTCTCTGTTTACTAGCTGATGTAAAGAGAGTGATCACACATACACACGTAAGTTATTATAAACTGTTATCCCAAATGTAGAATCATCAAGTTCACTGCAAAATAAAAATCAGTTCCAATCATTATTTAAGAGTAAACATAAAAAGCAGTCACTCTGAACAAAGTTTTATGAAGACTACGCAAGAGGACCAAAAGCCTTGAAGGCATTGTCATCCATCATCCCATTCACACACACCCTCCCCTCATTAATCTCTCCTCCGTTAAGACAGAATAAAAACAATAAGAAGACCCTCTCCCAAAAGTTGGTGGTAATAGTGAATGTGACATTGAATGACAGAGAATTTCTGACACTGGATAGCAAACATTTCTCCTTTGGTTTGACCGCTCCTTTGAAGAGAGATTGCATTTCTACACAAATCAAAACTAGACTTGGAACCAAGAAGGAGACTCTATCGTTTGGGTGTTTGCCTTATTCAAGGAGAAGTCCAAATTCAAACTCTGCACCACCATAAATACACAGACAGATAAAAATCAATGTTGGTAAGACTGTGGGGAAACCAGAACCATTTGTGGAAACTTAATTAACAAGACTTTTTAAAGGAAGAGAAGAATTTGGCAAAATCAACAAAAAATTTAAATGTTCATATTCTTTGACCAAAAAAATAAAGCTCTAGACTACAAAAACACAAAAGTGGTGCAAGAATGTGTTCCAAGATGTTTGCTGCACATTTTCTTAATAGGATAAAGAAGGAATAACACAACGTTTATTAGTGGAGAAATTATTAAACTAGTAACCATGCCATGGGGTATTTTCAGCTGTTAGAAAGAATAAAACAAAACACCATATTGAAAGTGATCAAAGGTTAAGGGGGACATGACAGATGGACATAGACAATGCCTAACTAGATGTGGTTTTCACTGCCAACATTTGGAGAAATTTAAACATAAAAGAGAAAAATGAAGAAATCAGATCAGTGCTGCTTGGGCAAGAATGGGGTGAAGGTGATGACTGGCAAGAGGCCGAAGAAAACTTTTTGTAGTGATAGATACGTCCTATATCTTGACAGGGTGGCAGTTATACAAACATGTGCATCTGTCAAAACTAATCAATTGTACACTAATGCTACACATTTCACTATGCTTAAATCATGCCTCCATTTAAAATATTCTTAGTTCAAACGATAGTAAATGGACGATAATGAATAAAGAAAGAATTCATGAGTCCATAAGAATGCTAAAAACAAAACAAACAAAAAATGTGGGAACGGCTCTTCTTCACAGAAAAATGCCAGCTAATAAAAGTAGGCGGAATGATAGAATTAGAAAAACATCATCTTGCAACCACCAGTGTGATATTTGATTCAGCAAAGGTCATCCATGGATGCTGAAATCATTGTGTGAAGAGTTGTTGGGGAACAAAATATATTCACAGTTATCAAAGTAGCACCTTGGAGATTATTGATTAATTATATGGGGTGGAGGAGGAGAACCTCAAATGAGGAGAGCTGACCAATACCACCTTTAACAAGAGATCAAAGTTACCACTACCAATAGTAGGACAAACAAATTATATTCCTGATTGTGATTTAATGGGAAGGACACAGTATTCCCTAAGTCCATGGTCAGCAAACTGCAGCTCTCGAGCCACATGCGGCTCTTTGGCCCCTTGAGTGTGGCTCTTCCACAAAATACCACTGCCTGGGTGAGTCTATTTTGAAGAAGTGGCATTAGAAGAAGTTTAAGTTTAAAAAATTTGGCTCTCAAAAGAAATTTCAATCGTTGTACTGTTGATATTTGGCTCTGTTGACTAATGAGTTTGCAGACCACTGCCCTAAGTCATATTCTCCCTAACATGTTTAACCTGAATCTAATAGCAATCAAACAATTGGACAATTCTGTATTTGGAACATCCTATAAGACAGCTGGCTTGGATTCTTCAAAACTGCTAATATTATGAAAGGGGAGAGGAAAAGAGTTCTAGATTAAGGAATTTAGAGACAGGAGACAGGAGAACTAAATGCAGTGCACAATCCTTGATTGGATCATGGATTTAAAAGAAACCATCATAAAGGACTTTTTTGAGACTATTAGGAAATTTGAATACATACTACATATTAGATACTATGATATATCAGTGTTAAATTTCTTTAGTACGGTAATGGTTTTATGGCTAGAAAAGAAAGTTTCTATTTAGCATGTTCTTAGAATGTGCATGATAAAATATTTAGGGTTGAAGTGTCATGATGTCTGCAATTTATTGTCAAATGGTTCAGCAAAATAAAAAATTAAATATGTAAAGAGAGAAAAAGAAAGCAAATAAAAAAATGTTAACAACTGGTGAATTCAGGTAAAGAGCATATGAATGTTCATTCTTTCAAACTTTATAATAAGTTTGAAATAGTTTTTTTAAAGTGGATGGAAGAAAAGAAATTCTAAGGGAAAGGGGAAAACACTGCAACAAAATTTACAATGTGACATGAAGCTGAAATGAAAACTGTATTTCCCCGGGTTGTGGGGGAGGGGGAGCAAGAGGGGACTCTACTTTTTCTTAACCTAACTATATTTTTTGTGTGTACCTATATGTTGATATTTTCCACATAATTAAGTGAGGCTGGGCATATTGAACTGATCAAGGAATCAGAATGGACAAGGAAGAGAAATGGAACAGAAGGAGCAGTATGTATGTACATTTTGCTCCCAGATATGTATAAATAACCCACATATGCACAAACATACACAGATACACCCATGGGAATCCTCCTTGTCTAGTTCATTTTTAAAAATTATTAACTGTCATAGAGCAATATTGCTCACCCCCATAGCATTATTTTATGAATAATTGTATTTCTCCAACTAAGCCTTAAGATCTATGAGAACAGGGACTCTGTGTTACTTGCTGGCACATAATACACACACACAAATACTTTGTTAATGGATGAACAGACAAATGAGTTCAGAATGTAAGGAGGCTGTGGAACCTGCCCAGGCTGAAGCAAAGGACAGGACTGGGAGGTGGGGGAGGGAATCTTGGTGGAAAAGGCAGAGCCAGACACAGACCAAAGAATGCTGGCGAAATCTGGCATTGCTGGGTTGAGTAGTGAGCAGCCACAGTCCCCCTCTGCCTGTGTGGGGATTATCCTTCTATTCCCCTTTACCAGACTGTGAGCTCTGGCAGGAGGAGAGTGAGCCTAGCGCCCTGCCAGGCACAGAACAGGTGGCTGACTGAGAAAGTTTTGCTAAAGAATGAACTGCAAGTCCTTGAGTAGGTGGCATTTACTGGCCATGCCCTTCCCCATCAACTAGCTTAGTCTTTGTTATAAAAGCTGAAAAGCAAGCTGACTCTAATGAAGTCGATATTTAACCTTATCTTTATTTTTGGCTTGACTTGTCCAACTGGTTCCACTTAGCTGCACTGTTTACCTACTCGGCTGTGAAAGCTACAGCACTGGGCAACACCAATGACCTTCTCAGCAGCTAGAGAAGGCCACATTTTTTTTTCTTTCATTTAGACTTCATGCTAGAAACATAAACAAGCAAATAAACTTCCAATTAGCATTAGCCTTCAATGTGCCTAAAATTATTCCCAACAGCCCCTCCCCCTCAAAAAAAAAAAAAATCAGGGAACTAGCCAAGTCAAGGGGGAACCAGTAAGGGCAGCCGATATTCACCAAGTGCCAGCCCTGTGCCCCATTCTTCAGAGACACCGTCTCCTGGACTCTCATGAGAGCCCAATGAGCCGATACTCCTGCCCCTTATTAAGGGATTCACCCAAGTGCAAAGCCAGGAAGCAGCAGGGCTGGGGTCTGCACGTACCCAGCTCCAGTGCTCACGCTCTCGCCATTGTTCTCGCTACATCTCCATCTACAATAGCGGTTGGCAGACAAAAGCCAACAGGCCCATTCAGCCTGCCAGCCTGCCACCTGTTTGCGTAAATAAGATTTTGCTGGAACACAGCCACACTCATTTGTTTGTGTTCTGTCTGTGGCTGCTTTCGCACTACGACAGCAGAGCTAAATTGAGACTCTATGGCCCACAAAGCCTAAAATATCTACTTTCTGGCTCTTTATAGAGCAATCTGTGGCTTCAGTCATGGAACAGGGTGATATGTGCTCAGATGAAAATACTTTCCCTGGTCCCATGATGAAATAATAAGATGCCACAAGCTTAGGGTTTCACTTTTAAACAATGAAATAGCATCATTTCCTCCCTGCTTTGTATTCAAAACCAATTAAGCGTTACAAGACTGCATTGTGGGAAGACATGGAGAAAATCAGATTTTGTCATCCCCTGCTCACTACACCTCTGAGTAAGCACACAAGCCTGGCCAGAGAGCACAGGATGAACTAATCTTCCTCCCAGCCTCTCCCCCAGTCACACCGGACGGTACCTGCATCCTGCAAGTAAAGCAGGGAGCCTGCACTTACCCCTGCTTTCAAAATGCATTCTGAGAATCAAGAAGGGGAACTCAAGTTAAAATAGGCAGGGGAGTGACTTGGCAAAACACAAAACAGGGGGAGAGAAGCTAGTTGTGACAACATCAGAGAAAAAACTAGGTTCTACACATGCACCTAATTCGTTACTCAGATTTGAGAAGGACTAACTTGATCATTAACAGGCACGGTGCTAGGCATTTTACATGCATGATCACATTTAATCCACCAAAACCCAGTGACATGGGTATTGTTGTTCACATTTTATAGATGAAGAAATAGCCTCAGAGAGGTTGGCAACTTGTCCAAGGTCACACTGCCAAGAAGTAGTGAATCTGGGAGGTGAATTCACCTCTACTTCCAAAATCCAAATTCTAACATGTAGTTTTGCATCCCAAAGGCACAATTAGTTGAAAAACCTAGGCAGAC